TGAAATTACGAAAATGCCACCGTTTTTTAGTTGTGATATCAACTTTCTTGTAATAACATGATGCTCATTATTGGACGCTTAATACTCATTAAAATTGAACTATTGCTCATTCACAGTACATTAATGCTCATTTAGCAGAAACCGCGATTTTCACATTAATTTCAAAAATGCCACCGAATTATTTTGCTATTTTTCACTTGGGCCTGTTATTGGGCCGGCTGTACGGTGCTCACCGTACAGCCGGCTGCACCATATACGTACTCATCATTACCCTGCTCAATTTATGTGATTAGATTTATCTGATTAAAATTTATCTGATTAAACTTTATTTGATTAGATTTATCTTATTAAAATTTATCTCATTAAACTTATCTCTTTTAATTTATCTATTTCATTTTATCTGATTAAATTTATCTGATTAAGATTTATTTGATTAAAATTTATTTGATTAAATTTATCTGATTAGATTCATCTGATTAAGATTTATAAGATTAAAATTTATCTGATTAAATTTATCTGAACAAATTTATTTGATTAGATTAATCTGATTAAAATTGAACACGTACATAAATATTATACTTGGATCCAAATATTTGGCTTTTATTGTTCGATCAATAATTTGTAGAAAAAGAAAACGATCTACCTAGTTGGATCTTTTTTTTTAAAGGCCCTAGTTGGATCTACCAATTCCGAAAGGAGGGAAAAGAAATTGAGCAAATCTTCCTAGTCGGATTTACTAATTCCGACAGGAGGTGTTCAATGAAAATATAACTCTAGTCGGAACACGGAATTCCGACTCCCGCAATATATTGGTAATTTCCTCCAATTGGGTGTGCGTGGCAGTTTCCGACGATATATACTTTCTTTAGATTTAATTAAATATTCAAAATATTAATTAAATATAAAACCATTTAAAATTAACTTTGTTTATTTGAAATACTAAATAATTTTCCAACAGCACGTCACTATTAGTCTATTAGGAAACACAAACTTGACATATTCCTGGATTAATTACGAACTCGATCACAAGACTCTTATACACTCATCTGCTAAACAATACTAAAGCATTCTTTGATTGAATTGCTTTATTTAAATTTTTATTGTTTTGTTTATTCTCCTTCAATTCATTATGTTTTGTTTTGCTAATGTGCTCCTCAAGTTATGTGATCCGGTTCCGCCACTCATTAGAGCAACATGTGTACAGTATTTTATACTTGCTATTTAATATGAATGTTTCCGTATCATTTAACAATAATCTCACAAGATTATTCTCCCCCGGCCATAACGTACATTATATTGAAGCTAAGCTAGATAATTAGTTTGGAATACGTACGTTGTTCATTGTTGGATGAACGCATGTTGAAGGAACACACATCGATCACGTACACATTCCTTGCTTCATTGGGATATGATTATTGCTCCAAGAAGCTAGCTAGCTAGTATTTAAGGAAGCGACGATGTGTGTATGTATATATACATATGGTGAGATAATATTGCTCAACCCATCAATTATATTCATATCGATCCATCTGGGCGCTAATCAACATATATGGGTTTGGTGATGAGCCTGATGGGAAAAGGTAGGCCAGTCGTACGTCTACCTTCACTTTTTTTTAGCTTCATTCAACCTCCTCTATACGTACCTACATATCCTAATAACGGTCCATCCATGAACAAATTAAAGTACGTTACAGATCATAAGATGCCCGGTTATGTACCTCCGATCCAACTTTGAACAATGTTTTTCATTGTTACGTGAAATTTATATTTTTTTTATATTTTTATTCAAGTAAATCGAATCGCAAGCATTTTCATATATTTTTTCATATTTGACAATTAGGATGTTTCTACTTGAACTGTAATTTGCTGGTCTGGTCTGCTTTCTTTATATTTTTATAACTATCCAAGTCTGGTCTGATCTGTGATCTGATCGGGACAACTTACGTAAACACATACCCAAAAAAGTTAACATGGTTGTCAAATCTTAATTATGGGATAACACGATAAACAAATATAAAAAAAAAACTTATGGGATATGACGACTAATCACTCATTATTTATTGTTTACAATAGTTATTAGGTACCTAGTTATTATTAGTATTCTAATGTCATTGCAGGGTTTCAAACAACTCAGTTGACGAGTTTGGCGTTGGGAACACTGTACACACGCTTTTACGACAAAGATGTCAAGACCTTTCAGGATTTCCACCTTGCAATTCTTGATATTTTCAAGTAATTATTAAAACTTCAACTAATCCATACCTACTTTAATTATTTTCAAGTCTCTTAAAACTTGTCAACTTTCTTTTCTGTTATCTCACTAACTTTGTCACTTTCTTTCTTTCATAAAGAATTTGTGATTTTAGTTAATTATTCTCTTTCTTCAATTCTGCACAAATATCAACTACACAGTTTTTACTTTATTCATATCCGTGTCGGTCAAACTTGGCCAAAACTATTAGGGCCGGGCCGGGCCGGGCGTCATGTACTAGCTAGCTGCTCTGAATATATAGGAAATAAACTTAAAATGTACTTTCCCTATACATCAACCACTTCATCCCATTTCAATGCAATCATATATTTTCTCATGCATAAAAATTCCCCATTTTTTGTCCCGTACCTATTTTTGGAACACAAATTTTTTTGCTTTCGTTATATTATCGTGGATGAACATCTAAAACAACTACTCCTTATGTCCCAAAAGCAATTTCACTTACACACATTTCTAATTATACCCTACTTTATGCCAAATGTAGTAAAAAGTAGTGAAGTAAAAATAGTTGTGACATTTGTGTTGGAAAGGTTTTTTACGGAAATAGAAATTTTATTTTGGCACACAATATATTAAAGAAGTGGTAAGTTATTTTTGGGGTGGTTCATTTCTAAAGTGAAATATACAAATGAATTTTGAGTGAGGCCATATGACTCGAAGTCATGTGTAACTCCCTAGAATCCCCCCCCCCCCCCCCCCCCCCCCCCCCCCCCAATCCCAAGTGCAATACACATAGTCTTTTGAAAATCACCCAATATATAATATTATACTTCGGGTATGCATGTATATACAGCAACGTGAATGGTGCATTGCCCGGAAAACACTATAATGTGCCAACGGTGAAGGAGATCCAAGCATGTTTTGAAGAGTGGAAAAGTAGAGATGATGAAATAGCCAAGAAGACAGTGTTCATAGATTTCATGAAGACAAGGGTGGACCTTAGCAAGATGGATGACACAACGCTCATCACCGGATTGGTGACGCCCCCGGTGGCCATGGCAGCCAAGAGGGCGGGAGAAAGCGTCCCCCAGCTCAAACTCATTAAAGCCATCCCCGATGTTTTGTTCGTACCGTCCGCCACCGTTCTCGCTCTCGTCTCCGTAAAGCTCTCCCGAAAGATGTTCCTCGGAAACGACGCCTCATCATAAATACTACATTCGTCCCCAAAATAATGTATCACTTTCCTTAATTAGATATCTCAAAATGAGCTTCACATTTATATAAAAATTAACTTTTAAATACAAAATATCGAAATTCCGCTTACTGTGTGACAAAAAGTAAGGATGTCAATGGAAAGTCAATAATCCATCACTTTAATTTTTCACTTAATGTACTTAAGCGAAAGTGAGAAATTGTTTTGATGGATGGATAAATATATAACACAACATTCTTGTTAAAATGCATGCATGTATGCCACTCATTATTCCTTAATTCCTCAAGTATTTCGTACCACGTTCCTACATTCGTACTCACTATTCCTTTGCGCAATCTTAAGTTAAACTACTACGTAGTAGTATTTTTTTTCAAAATCTTATCGATTCATACCCTCAACTAATAAGAATAAAGGAATTTGACCTAGAAAGTATTAAAAAGAATGTAAAATTCAAAACAAGGATACATTGTTTTTATTCCATAAATATGAATAATCACTGACATAGTCTAAAAATACTACTACGTATAAATTATTCTGTATGATATCAATACAACCCAATGTGTGATATAATAAAAAAATGACAATATAATTTTAGGATGACAATAAATTGCTCGTGATTATACGATACAATAAAAACACAGTACTCATATTTTGGAATTTCTTATTATTTTTTCTCTTATTTCAAAAATTTCCTAAATAATAAAGGTACAACAACGTCAACAATCGCCTACCTAATGTACTCTAGAGTAATACTAACCTTATGTGTAAAGAAATTTTCATGAAGTAAACAAAAACTGATTTCCTAAAAGGCTAAAAGTACATGAAATGTAGGGAGTTACGTTATATATAAGCTAGAGTACATTACTCATCATGTAGTTTTAGGCGATTATAACTCCCTCTAGTTCATCATGATTTGTGATAAGAATTTACATATAAGGATTTCAATTGCTTGCGCGCAAATTAGCCGATTTTCTAAAAGCATTACGTGAATTATTGTAAATATTATAACACAATGCAATGTACTACCACTACTACGTATTATAAATGACTGGTGTGCATTTTTCTATTAGGGTTTAGTTACTCTCAATGGTGAGTGCTTGTTTCATTTAATTAATTATGTGTAAAAAGTACTTTATAAATAGAAGAATGATTTGTAACTCATTTATAAATATGCTTTTTCATATTATCCCCATAATAATCATAATAACATTATCTAATTATTGGTTTAAAAATATTCAAGACATTTTTCCAATTTTAAAAGTATTCCAGAATAAGTTAATTATTTTTATAATATGAAAAGCAATAATGATCAATAAAAATGCACTCCGTATAATCTAAAAGCTGAATCTAAGAGGAAAACTAATAGGGCCTACTCAAGATGAAAACATTGAATCTAAGTATTAGGGTATCATTGAGATGTGTAGGGAAATTTAGTCATTTTACACATGTTTTACTCTATTGATTGGCAAAATGTGTGTTATTGATGAACAAAATACCTATAATTAATGACCAATCATTTAAAGCAGTTCTCTGCTGACAATGTCCCTTTACCGAACCAATAAATGAAACATATCAAAATGATCAAATAACCCTCCATATTCATATAAATTTGTGCAGCAAAAGAGGACTCTTCCCAGGAATTTGGGCTAGGTAGGCTCCTAAACTGCTATGAACGAATATGTGTGTGTGTGAGAGAGAGACAGCGCCAATCAAATGATTAGATGTTTCATCTTTGAAACATAGACCGAATGAAACACACTTAAAGTTTATTAACCCCATATGAACAAGACATGTACATATTTCTAGCTACTACCTGTGGGAAAATGCAAATTTAACATTGCTACTCCGTATAATTATAAAAAATAGTCCTATCCCGAAAAAAGCACAGCGGATCTTCAGGTCTTTTGCTCATCCCGCCCCAGTTCAATTCCCGGCCTCTTCCATGTAATTGTTGGCAAATGGCAATTGTTACCTAAGGGAACATTTGTCCTCACACTTCATCACCTCTACCTCTTGGAAGCTTCTGATCTGCTCCTTCGTCTTATGGTCATATATCATGAAAATATCTTCGTTCTGCAACAACAACACTATTAGCTATACAAAAATAACATTACTTAGCGTCATTCAAATCAAGAAAAAGCTGTAGCTGTAGTCTGTAGGTAGTTTATGGGTGCTTCTTTCCAATTCTGGTACCCAGACTCTTGGGTAATTTCCACATTCAGTCCCCGACTCTAATTCATTTCACTTTTGGTCCCTGACTATAACGAAATGATCAACTTTTGTCTTTTGGTCACCCGCTATCACTTTATCCACTTCTAGAGCATCACTTTTAGAGCATGCTTGTGAATTTCTTGCCACTTGTAGTCAAGCATATTCTGAAATTATCATCTCTGTTCTAAACTTTCATCTCTTTTTACTTTTGAAGCACTGTTATTAATTTTGAGAGTATTGTTCCTTTTGTCACTTACCCAGTTACCCGCAAAAATCAACAACACATTATAAGGAAATTGAACGGATAAGTGATTGAAAATATCAACTGGTGAGAAATCCGCGGTTTGAATGAAGTGTATAAAATGATAGAGGCCAAAGTGAGAATTACCTAATAATAGTTGAGGACAAAACGTGAGATATTTTTGGTTATGGATAGACTGATAGAGAGACCTTACATTTACACGAGTACCCACAACAAGGCATTGGTCAGTCAACTCCGACATAGTTTTCCCGTTTTCACAAATGTCACTACAGGGGATGGATAAGCCACCTCGCACACTATATTCTGCCAAAAGCTGAGCCACGATAGCAGGACATCTTTCTGTCATTCTGTCCCTGTCCTCAGGGGGCAAATCAGTAACATTCTGCAAGCTTGTGGTATCGGCGTGAATTATGCCATTCACGCCATTTTCAGTAATATTTTGCAAGCTTGTGGTATCGGCGTTAATTATGCCATTCCCGCCATTTTCAGTAATATTCTGCAAGCTTGTGGTATCGGCGTGAATTATGCCATTCCCGCCATTTTCATTCATTATCTTTTCTAAACCAGCTTTTATCGTGCTAACTCGTGACTGCAAATCCCAAATCTTCCTAAGTCTTTGCTCCATTGGGTTACTCCTGTCCATCAGCTTTATGTTTTGTAATGGTTCCTTGTCAAGGTTCAACTCATTGATGCTTTTCAGCTCCTCGGAGGAAACCAATGCTGTTTGAATAATAAAGCCAATCAGATAATTATTAATGCAAATACCTCAAATAGGGAAAATAAAAACCCATACTTTCATTTTGAAAATAGCCACTTGTCTATTATAGCAGAGTTACATCTAGTCCATCCCATAAAAATAACAGCTCAGTATTATCTATAACTGATATTAAGGCAGCCTTTTCGGCAAAACAGAATCCAGAGAATGCCCTTCATAAACTCTAAACTAAACGGTCTAAGTGGTGATATACTGATATTAATAGGAGATACCAATAATATCTAAATTATAACCACTGAGAAACTGAAAGACATGTGCAACCAGATTCCATAATACCAAAACAACTGGGAGACTAGAAATGTGGTTTACCCTCGCATATAATTGTGCAAATTACTGCTCTATGAAAAGTCGAGCCGCTCAGCTCGAGCAGATGATTCACTCAATATCTCAAATATGGAAAATTGACCTTTATGCATCTTCTTGGGTTGGATGAGAATATGGCTTTGGAGAGAGCAAAGTGCAGGGCGCACATTCGTGGGGACGAGTGATCTCTTTTCTATCTTCTCTCTCTCTCTCTATCTCTCTTTCTTTTAATCCTCTTTATCTTTTTATGTGCTTATATTTTTTATCTTCTAGCTTTTTATGCTCTTTTATCTTTTTATCTTTTATCTTTCTTATGTTCTTATGTTATTGTTATTTTATATTTATTTATCTTTATCTTATCCGTTTTATCTTACTTTTTTTTCCTTCCTTTTCATTCTTCTTGTCTGTCTTCTCTTTTTGGCATTGATATCATGGATCGGTTCATGTTAGCCGACCTCAAAATATTTTGGGATTAAGGCTTGGATGTTGTTGTTGTTGTAGTGCCTCATTTGGCATAATTGACAATTGTGACAAAACTTACCAATTAGTATTGGGTTTATTGGAATTTTGTTGGGCATATAGAATGCCAAGAATGCCCTTTCATAAACTCTAGCATTTAACAGAAGGTTACTTGTATCACAGAATAAACAAATTGAGGGACTAAATTGACAAGAAAAAGGTGTGTCCCAGATTACATAATATCCAGAAGTAACCTTATGGGCACATCTTTCCCATCCCCCACCTGACTTCTCACTGACAATAAAAAAGAACCAAATAGTTCGCTCACCTGGATTGAACTGATGATCAGTCCAGAAAGCACCATCAGCAGGAGACTTTCTATTTTCTGTTGATTAAAAAAACCTTTATCAAGCTCAAGATAGGAATAATCGTTGGCATATGAGCATGACTAATAAAAAATCATATATATACCATAGATAGAAAACAGGTTATGCTTGGACATATACTCTGCAACATTCTGCTTCTCTTCATCTCTCCTCCTCCTCTTTCTCCCATGTACCTGGTTCCTTTGAGGGGTGAAGGGAAACGGGATTGATTTTGAATTAATAATTTCTGGTCCAAAGTTTCCGAATTCAATCTGCTTTCTATCATTGTATTGAGCAAGCTCTTTGTCATACTTTTGTGCTTGAGATTTGAATTTTACAAGTTGCAGCTCTATCCACTTGCACCGCCACATCAGTGATCTTATGAAACCTCTCCACTGAGATGTCACCTTCTTCCTGGAAAATAATAGTTCCAATAATATCATGTATAATGAATCTAAAAAAGATGCAATTCCACCGCCACCCTTTTGTCATCTGTATTATCGTACAATACTTTTAAAGCATTATTAGCTGTAATTTGGTCATATCATAAAACTTCTGAACTTTTAAGTTGAATTTTGAGAAATGACCCCATATATTACTTAACAGTATGTGTGCACACTCATTAAATGATGGTTAAAAGAAAGAGGAGTGTAAAATGTATTTGAGAGCATGGTAGTCAAACAGAAGAAGAGCAACTGCAAAATGTATTCTTTCATATTAATGGTTGGAAAGAAATTTATATCTTGATTTAACTTAACGTATACTCCCCTTCCCTCCCTTCGAAATCCCCCCAACAAACCAAGCCTACTAAGAATCCTTCCATAGGGTTCGATGAACTCATTGGGGTTACTGCAAGGAGTACTTCTCTCAAAGAGAAATTGATCAATTATATAGGTAGTAATAATGTAATACGGATTATTAATTAAATACTTACGCAAGCTAGCACAATTATTTCTCAAGCAAGCAAACATAGAAAAGAATAAATAAAGTTTCCAGGGAGAGGGAGCAAACAACCTCATGCCTAATAAATTGGTAAGATCACCAAATGTGAGTGCTGATGTAGCATCCCCATAAAGATCACTATCATCACCAATGCCAGAAATAGATTCCTCAAAAGAACTTGATGCACTCTCTGATGTTTCTTGACACGCTGCTTCAACCAGACCATATCTATTTCTGTCGAGATTGACATGCTCAGTTATGTTGACTTCTGAACTCTCTCTGATTAGATCAACATGTCCTCCCCCATTTTGTTGAGCAATCGCCGTACTCACGAAAAATGTAACATCATCATTGCCATTTTTGGGAAACTTTACATAATTAACTTTATCATTATTGCAGTTATTGTTATTATTATTAGGTTCTTTGACAGGATTTCCGTTCTGCCCCATCATTGAATCCTCCATAGCCATGATTGATCTACCTTTTAGGCTGTAAAACAATATCCCCAAACGGTGAAACAAATAAATGAGAGAGCTTTTACAATCAAGATTATCTGAAACTTAACACTTGATATTTTATTGTTACAGAAAAAGAAGAAGACAAACAGTCCAACACATCAATTAATAAATTCTTATATAGAACAAAAAAATGGTTTCGGGAAACATACAGTGTACTTCAATCTATCTACTACAAGAGTCAAAGAGATGTGGGGGTATGAGTGTTCCCAAATATGGAATTTCGACAGTCTAAAATTCATTAATTAACGATAGAACTGCGGGTTATGTTTCACAAATTGATAATTGCAAGCAGGCTTAATTTTGGTATGAGGAAATACGTACGTACCTAGAGAGGATGGACGTTGAATTGAAGGAAGAAGAGAAGCTTGTGGAGTAATCATTCTCAGAATTAGAGTCCAACGGTAGGATGGATGTCAACTTATACTGCCACATGCATAGACTCCTCTTATGTTAAACCGGCCCAAATATTTTAGGAAGGGCTTACTAATTAATTAGAAATAATTACATCAATATGACCAAAATAAAGATAGTTTACAAAAATATGTTTAGTTACTAGAATAGTAATGAAATCATAGTAATTTATGTTCAAGTTTTGAACTTAAGTTACTACAATACCACGTTGTAGTAATGAACAGTCATATTTATGTAAATAAGTTTTCTTGTAAAAAACCCGAATAATTTTTTTAATTCGCTTAAGGAAGTCTTCATTTTAACTTAGAACATGCCTCGAAATGGTTTAGGCCTTAAGGGTGGACAAACTGATTCGGTTTGAGTTCAGTAGTGTTTCTTCCAAACCGAAGAGATAGAATCGAACCAAATAAATCAAACCCAACTGATATAGTTAAACATCTAATAAAACCGAGCCAAACTAAAATATTCAATAAATCCTTAATGTATGCTTAAAAGTAACAAATGCAATCTGAAGTGATCAAACCCGAACCAAGCATTCCAGCCCAGCTGGTTGTGAGGTTACCGTGCCTAGTGGGAGGTCTACCGCTAGGCACATAAGGGTGTGAAACTCAATGGAGTGAGTTTCAGTCCTGATTACTCCAGGCTCCCCCCAGCCCCCTCACCCAGACCCCCTGGAGTAAAAAAAAAGTGATCAAACCCGAATCGAATAAAAACATAGTAGCCTTATTTGGAAATATAATGGTTGATCAACCATTTTTAGCTTCTTTGACTACAACTAATGAGTTCAACAATCTAAAACGCTAAAATTATTGTTTGGAAAATGGCTAATTGGATTAGCTTATTGATCCCTTTCAGCCAAAAACTAAAATGCTACATAGTCCAGCATTTGGATTCGGCCACTCCAGTTTCTGCCTTTAATGCCCTTCATTCATGCTTCACATTTGTTTTTTTAATTCGTTCCTATTCTGTTAGTTTTGTATCTTTTCTAATTGCTTTGCACGTGTTATTTACTGTCCACAATGCGCACTTTTTTTTGGCAAAACGATATGCATATTTATTAATTTTAATTGTCTCTTTTGATCAAAATTTAGTCTTAACTTTGAATTGCGGGGGACTACAGATAGAATGTAAAACCTTGCCTTGTATTCTGAATCGAAGTCGTATTTAAACTACAATCTTTGGTCATAACATGTTGACCTGCGGCTAGCTAATCTAGGAAGGAAATAATACATTAATGGGAATAATAATGGAGAATAATATACACAAGGAAATATGTAAATAAGGAAATCAATTATGGACAATGATTGTTGACCAAGTGTGTGTGTGTGTAACGTACGTGCGCATGGCTTTGCATGCGGTACGTTATTTCGCCCCCGCTGTCAAAACGTCGTGTTGCCGGACGTGAAGACTGGACCGGAAATCTTCAAAGAGAATACGGGGTAGTCCTTTGGTAAATATATCCACAAATTGATGGCGGGACGGGACATGAAGCACTTTGACCTCACCGCGGGCAACCTTCTCCCGCACAAAATGAATATCTATCTCTATGTGTTTTGTCCGTTGATGTTGTACCGGATTGTCGGCCATATAGATGGTGCTGACGTTGTCACAATAAACTAGGGAGGCCTTCGGAATAGGGCATTGAAGTTCCAATAGGAGGTTCCGAAGCCAGCATATTTCGGCTACCACGTTAGCCACCCCACGGTACTCGGCCTCGGCACTAGACCGAGAAATTGTAGGCTGCCGTCAGGGCACCCGCCCCAATCTGCGTCGGTATAGGCCGTCAGAGATGTCGGTGGTGATCGATGGAGATGCATGCCAAGGTGAGCAGTGCCGCGGACGTACCGGATGATGCGTTTGAGGGCATTAAGATGTGGGAGCCGAGGATCATGCATGAACAAGCAAATTTGCTGGACGGCATACGATATGTTCGGCCGGGTGATGGTGAGATATTGAAGTGCCCCGGCCAGGCGACGATACAACGTAGGGTCGGGAACTGGCGGACCCGCAGTGGCACTCAATTTTGCTTGGGTGTCGACGGGGGTAGCAACGGGGTTGCAAGCTTCCATGCCGGCACGGGAAATAATATCACGGGCATAGTTTTGTTGAGATAAGAATAACCCGCCCGGGTATGAAGTTACCGAGATCCCCAGAAAAAAGGATAGAGGGCCCAGGTCCGTCATGGCAAATTCTCTGCGTAAATGTGAAATAATGGTGCTGCGGAGAGAGTCCGAAGAGGCCGTAAGGATGATATCATCTACGTAGAGCAAGATGTACGCCGTCCCGTGCTGGGAATGAAGGATAAATAGAGAATGATCACACTTGCTGTGTATGAATCCAAGAGTGGAAACATACATAGCAAAGCGGTGATACCAAGCTCGTGGTGCTTGCTTTAGACCGTATAACGATTTCAGTAGGCGGCATACATGGTGAGGATGAGCGGAATCACGGTAGCCCGGTGGTTGATGCATGTAGACGGTTTCCTCAAGGTGGCCGTGAAGGAAAGCGTTTTTCACATCAAGTTGATGTAATGGCCAGGACTGGGACAGGGCCAGACTGAGCACGGTACGTATAGTGGCCGGTTTGACAACCGGACTAAACGTTTCGTCACAGTCAACGCCGACCTGCTGCGAGTTTCCATTAACCACGAGCCGAGCTTTGTGACGTTCAAGGGAGCCGTCCGACCTGTATTTATGCTTGAACAACCACATACAACGAACAACATTAGTTTCGGGGGGCCGGGGAACCAACTCCCACGCCCCATTTTTAATAAGCGCACTAAATTCGTCATCCATGGCGGCTTTCCATAATGGATCACGGAGGGCAGAAATGGGTGATTTGGGAAGTGGGGAAGGGGATGTGGGGGCCGAAAGGTTTAGAAACTGCCGAGGTTTAAAAATGTCGGCTTTGGCGCGGGTGAGCATAGGGTGTCCCGTAGCCGTGGAGGTGACGGTGTGGGCTGGGCTGGTGGGGTGGTCAGTAAGGTGCAAGGGACTGGACGGGGGGGGAGGTGTTGGCGGAGGTATGTGAAGTTGAGGCCGAGGGGGTGGTATTGGGCGAATGGGGCTGAGTGGTTGGCTGAGGAGACGGGGAACTCGGGAGAGAGGACGGGGGTGTGGGCGACGTGGGCATGGCAGGAGGGGACGACCATGCAAACACCTCAGGTTGAGCGTGTATTATCGGCAGAAGAGGGTTAGCCGAGTGGGTGGGCTGTGTTGGCTTGTTATGTGAAGTTTGGAACGGAAAGACATTTTCGTTAAAGGTAACGTGTCGGGAAATAAGTAGTTTGTGGGTAGAGATCTCCATACAAAGGTAGCCCTTATGATTGTCGGGGTACCCTAAAAAAAATGCAAGGCGTGGAACGGGGATGTAGTTTATGGATGGTAGGAGGGGGGTTGTGCGGAAAGCAAAGGCATCCGAAAATCCGGAGGTGGTCATAAGTGGGGGATTTTTGGTAGAGGATGTGAGTAGGTGTGAGGAAATGAAGGGTTTGGGAGGGTAATATATTGTGGAGATAATTGGCCATTTTAATAGCATATGGCCAAAGTTGAGGAGGTGCACCCGCGTGTATGAGTAGAGTGCGGGCAAGATTATTGATCGAGGGTACGGATGGTACGCTCGGCCTTTCCATTTTGTGGGGATGTATAAGGGCAAGAATAACGGAAATGAAGACCATGGGAGTTACCAAATTGTGTGAATTTAGAGTTACGAAATTCGGTGTCGTTGTCACATTGTAATACTTTAATATTTTGCTCAAATTGAGTTTTGATAAGGTGATAAAATGTGACAAAGACATAATAGGTGTCGGATTTAACATGAATTGGAAATACCCACAAAAATTTGGAGTAATCGTCTAAAAATAAAACATAGTAGCGATGGTCTGTGTTGCTTAACACCTGTGAAGTCCATAAGTCACTATGTATTAAATCAAAAGGTTTATTGGTAGTAGAATAAGAGTGAGGAAATGGTAATTTTCCCTTTATTCCCAATTGACAAGAAGTACAAACAGAAGCATGTAATTTATTATAAGAAATATGTTTATGATATCTAAGAGAATGAAAAACTGGGTCCCCGGGGTGTCCGAGCCTGTTATGCCAAATCTCCGCGGGTAAAGTGAGGTATGCGGAAGGTGGAGTGAAGCCGCTGCCGGATGATGGAGAGATGGGATAAAGGTGACTCGAACTGTTACACCGCAGAACCTGAGCCCCCGTGTGGAGATCCTTCACAGAAAAACCAAACGGGTCAAATTCAACGGAAACATTATTATCGGTGGTGAATTGTCGAACAGAGATAAGATTTTTAATAAGTTGAGGGGCATGAAGAACATTTTGTAGTTTAAGAGGGGTGTGGGGGATGGTGGTAGTGCTGTGACCCAAGACGGGGACAGAAGTACCATTGCCGACCAAAATACGAGTATTAGTACGCGAATTAAAATAGGGAGTAAGAGTACCTGAAGAGGAGGCCATGTGAGACGTAGCCCCGGTGTCCATATACCATTGAGTATCCGGCGGGTTTAGGGTGAGGGTATGCATGGCGGCCTGGATGTCGGTGGGGGTTTGGTTGGCAGCATAGTGGGCTTGGGGAGGGCGTGAACCCAGGATGCCAGGTGACGGGTTGGGAGAGGGAGTTGGAGCAGTTTGAGGGTTGGTGGGGTAAGGGCACGGAGGGATGGTCCAGAGTGGTTGTTTCCAATATTGCCATGGGGGAAAGGACCACTAGCCACCTGGGGGGTTGATGGTGGGATTATAGTGGTGAGTAGGGTTGATGGGTCGGTTGGAGGGCCGGTTTCTACCGCCGCGGCCACGGGGCCGAGCCGGACGACCATCGGAGCGAGGGGGCAGGTGGAGAGGGTTGTCGAGGGTTGTGTGGACGGGCGGTGGAGGGAGTAGGGGGAGGGCCGTGATGGAGCAAAGCAGAGGGTGAGGTACCGGATTGGTGTTGTTTGCGGGTTTCTTCGAGGGACACCATTGATCGGGCCTTGGAAAATAAGGGTAGGG